CTGGGGGACAGACCCGCCCCGCCCGCTCCGCGGCGACCCCGCCCTGCTCTCTGCCGGGTCCGCATCCAGCTGCAGTCCGCAGGAGCAGCAGCCGCAGCCGACAGCGGGCGGGATCCCCGGGGAGCCGCAGGGAGCGAAGCGGACCCCGCGCCCGTGCTTTCGCCCGCCCTGGCTCGTCTGTCGCTGCGTCGGTCTTCTGGCTGGACCCTGCGGACCAGCTGGCCCCGAACCCTGGCTCCGCGCGCCGCAGGGTCCGCCCACCAGGCCTTCCGGCTGGACCCCGCCGAGGACGACACCTGGCGGGGCCACCATGGAAGGGGACGCCGCAGCCCCGGCGGTGAGTGCGCGTCCTCTGCCCTCGAGAGGGCGCGGCAGGCGTGCACCCCGCTTCCGCTGCGCCGTCCCCGCCCCGGTGCCCCTTTCCGCACCCCCGGGGATCCCCGCGCCCAAGGCCGCCACCTGAGCGTCCGGGGCGCTGCAGCACTGGCTGGAAGTTCGGCTGGGAGCCTCGGCCTCGGGGCGGTGCCGCGCGCCCGCCCTTTGTCTGACGGCGTTGGGGCGCTCGGTCCCGGTGGTCAGGGCTCCTCGCCTGCTCGGGAAGGGCGAGGGCGGGCGCGCCGGCAGCTGTCGAGGTGGAGCTTTTGTTTGGGGGCCGATCCCCGAAGTTTCCGGGGAACCCCTTTGAGGCATCACATCCATTTCTTTTAGTTGTTTCCCTCTCAATGAATAAAAAATGAACACATTTTTATTTTGTGTAAGAATTACTTTTGATATCCACTGTGATTCAAAAGCCAAATTCAAGACATGACTTTGTGTGCAAGATAAATGGAAGGAGGCTTAGAACTTCCAGTGGGCGTTCAACTATTGACCAGTGGTACGTTGTTATACGTAAAAATGGGTGTGAGCATCTAGTTTGGATATTCTGGACAGCATTTTCCTTTGAATTAATGTCAATCTGTGAAATGAGGTAAGACGTGAATGAATGTACAGTTTTGGTGTGAATTGTATTTGGTGTGAATCGTGAGGTGTGGTTGTCTCACTTCCAGACGTATTAAAATCGTGCCAGGATGTGCGCCTTTATGAAATGTTGAATGACGCAGCCTGAGACCCTCGCGGAGAGACAGGATAGCGCCAGTGCTCTGTGGTGCTATTAAATGAAAGAGGGTATAATTGCACTTTGTGTCACTTTAAAGGGAAAAAACTTAGCTAACATTTTTGTCTCATTAAAATAAGTGAATTGAATTTTAACTGTGTGTATTTCTAGTGTTGAAATGAATGTACGTACAAGGTTAAGAGTAATTTAGTGTTGGACTGTCATTAAAACTGAAGATGCCAACAATAGATTCATTTGAAATTTGGGATACATGAAACAAAATACATGGGAAAAGGATGTGAAAAATGGCATGAACTCATTAAACCTTATTAATTACAAGAATCTAAAATATTTCTCCTTTTTAATAATATAATGAAAGCCTATATAACATTGATGTACTTAGTGACTGTTAGCCATCTACAGCCTTTTAAGCCTGAAGTGCTTTATGGTGACTACCTTTGATATGCAGATGAGAATCTCTAGCATTTTAACCGCATTATAGTTACAACATATGAAAAATGGTCACAATGCTGCTACTTCAGCTTGTAAATAGATTCAACTAGAACTCTGTGAACATATTGGCTAGCCTAGTGTTTATCAGTCTCTGAATTAATGCACCAAATAGGAATAGACTATTTTTAGTGCTATATTCAAACTTTTTTCTTACATACTTTATTTTGAATCAATAACGCTGTACATATTTATGAGATTCAGTGTGAAATTTCAGTATATATATACAATGTGTAATAGTCATATCGAGGTAATTAGTGTATCTCTCAAACATTTATTATTTCTTTGTGTTGAGAAGATTCATAATCCACTCTGTGAGCATTTTGAAATACATAATTGCCAGGTTATTCCTCTTAATCACCTGCACTCCTGTATTCATTAACTATCCTCTACCCTCCCTTCCTCCCACCCTTTCCAGGGTGGTAATTCTATCTATTCTTTTATGAGTATTCCAATTTTTTTATTGAAGTAATTGTTTTGAATTTCATTGGAGTCCTGAATGAGTGATTATTCTTGGTGGTTTAAATGACTTTTAGTTTTTGATAATTTTGGGCCCCTAATACTTTATGCCAACTTTTTTCTTTTATTTTTTCTTCTTTCTCTTTCTTTTGTTTAGTCTCATGTTCTGTTCCCAGTTCTAAGCTATAGATGTTAAAGGGAAGTTTCAGAGTTGAAGGGAACTTCAGATTTTTATAAAATCTTTTTCTTAATTCTTTCTGGAAGAGTAGACACATGTACTTGTATGAGAGAGATAAACATGGTTAATGTATTTACCCATAAGAGCTTTTGACTGGATCTTTTTCTTCAATTTGAAGGTGACTATTAAGAATATTGAAAGAGAGCTCATTTGCCCAGCCTGCAAGGAGCTGTTCACCCACCCATTGATTCTCCCTTGCCAACACAGTATCTGTCATAAATGTGTGAAAGAACTCTTACTGGCTCTGGAGGACTCATTCAATGATGTGGGATCCGACAGCTCCAATCAGAGCAGTCCTCGCCTTCGCCTTTCCTCCCCCAGCATGGACAGAATTGACAGAATTAACAGACCAGGTATGTGGCAAAGGCACCTTGGCATGGGGGAGCTTATAGATATTTACCCAGTTGTAATTGTGGAAAAAAAAACTATGTTTGTCATTTTGAATGTTAATTTCCCAGGTAAACAGAATTATAGTTACAAAGGGTTCCCCTCCTTAAAATGTCAAAATGAACTCGTGGTTATCTTTTAATATGTTCTCAGAGTGCTCATTAGATATTGAACACCAATATGTTAAAGCCCTTAACTGTGCCTGTATTTTTGAGGATGTTCTGCCTGTGATGTTCTTGATATAAAATAATGGACCACTGAAATACTTACTAGGAAAAATCCACATATAGCAATATGCAAACAAATACTGCAGAGTTAAGGGTGGGACTACATAATGGGTAATCCTAGAAAAATTTGTTTTATTAGTGATCTTAAAAAATTTTTAAGACAAATTATTTGGTGTCATTCCTCCTGGGAATTTTATGTTTTTAGCCTTTTTAAGTCCAGTTTTTAAAATACAGATTCTAGATAGGTGTGGTGGCACATGCCTGTAATCCCAGCACTCTGGGAAGCTGATGCAGGAGGTTTGTAGCTTCAAGCCCAGATGGGCAGTTTAGCAACTTAGAGAGATCTGGTCTCAAAATAAAAAAGGGCTGGGAATGTAGCTCACCGCAGAGGTCCTGGATTCAATCCCCAGTATCACAAAAGGATTTTGAAAATCGTAAATCAGCAGAACTATGTAATAACATATACAAGTAAATGTAATTTGATGTATAACAAGCACATATACTGTATCTTTTATTACATGACCAATGTTTAAATTATTTCCTGTTGAGATAATGTTACTTTTTCTTCTGTATGGCTATTGCAGGATTAATGTAGATCAAAATTGGTTTAGTATCACTATAGGTGCTGAATTGTTAGTATAAAAGTCAGCAGTGAAGACCAAGGAGCACCCAGCCTCATGTGAAGCATCCCCTCTCTGTGGAAGGCAGTATGAGTGGCCATAAATCCAGATTGCAGAGCTTCTGCCCTGCCCACTTTGAGATCTGAAGTTTTTAGTCATTGGTTGTGGCTTTTTTTTTTTTTTGAAACAGGTTCTCACTGTGTAGTTCAGGCTGGCCTTGAACTCACTATGTAACCCAGGCTGTCCTCCAACTCACAGCAGTCCTCCTGCCTCAGTCTCTCGAGTGCAGGGATTATAGGCTTGTACCACCATACCTGGTTTAAACCCTGAGGTTTTAAGTTTAATTTATTTGTTCATATTGTTGGTTTATTGCTCTTATAGGAATAACTTTTTAATCTTGTAAATTTTTTCAGAAAAGAATCTCTTTCTCTAAGTTGTATTTTTTAAAATGTCATCTTGTTTTTGGTCTACCACCCGATAAGAGTCTCCTTGAGTAGTATTTATGTGCCTCATCAAAGAATAAGAGTAATTTGCTTTAAGAGTTTTACTATGCTATTTAAAAAATGTGTTTTTCTTTACACATCAATCAGTAATAACTAACCAGATATTTTGCACACATAAAAATTATATGTACATACTGAGAAAAAGGAGGATTAGGCAAATTGCAAGTGGACGGGAAATATGAGGACAGAGAGGAGAATTGTGTCCATTGTGAAGTCATCACTTTAATATTTTCCTCTCTGATGTGAATCTGGCACATGAAAGAGGGGACAGAAGACAGTAGTGAGCTCTTGTTGTCATCTACCAGATAAAACTTGATGTTCTGTTGGTAGATCTTTGACTAATTGGAGATTCCTGTTTGATTGACCAAAAAATATTTACATTTTGTATATTAATATTCAGAGAAGACAATTCAGTGGAGGAGTATTTCCACCTATAATTCAGTTGTACTCACCTATTTAGTCAAATCTGTTATTTTATATAGGCTTTTAATCTTCAGATTTGGCTACTTTATACTTGATCTTAGCCAAAAGGCCAGGAAGTGACAAGATTTGGCTACTTTTGTATGTGATTTATATAAAGTATGAAATGAACTATTTCAATTTTCAGGAACAGACCTAGCACAGTGCTCTGAAGGTGCTTAATCCATATTTGTTGAATGACAAGTCTCTGCTACATGATTTATGCAAAGAGCATGCCATAATGACTTTGTTCAATAATAGTGACTTTTTATTTTCAGAACAAGAGCTCCATTCCACCGTACATCCCACTGTCTAGATTAGAAATAGAATTACTGAGATGTAATTCTCATCTCCTTAAGAAGAGTTCTGTGATGTTAGATTATA